CCGCCGAGCTCCTGCAGGTGAAGCCCCTCAGGGTCCCCAGGGTCCTCGCCGCGCAGACGGGCTCCGCCCGGGGAGCCCTGCGCGCGTCTCCCTGGCTGACGGGGGCCGTGCGGTGAGGACCCCGAAGGAGGTGGGGCGGGTGAGCCGGCCCCGCAGCGTTCCAGCGCCTCGGGACCCCGCGGCTGTGGCTCCGGCGCGGCCGCCTCCGGACTCACCCCTTCCCGGAACCTGCAGATCCCCGGAACCCCCCCAGGATGTGGGTCACTGAACGCTGCGGACAGGACCGCACGCGCGCACACGCACGTGCGCACACACTCGAACGTTGCGGACACCACCACGCACGCACGTGCGCACACAGACGCGCACACGCGGACGTTTATACCATCGCGCGCACACGAACGTTGCGGACACCGCCGCGCGCCCCATTTCGGTCCCAGATACCGCTGTGGTGACGGTCCAGCCGGTGCCCAGTGGCCCTAATGACAGCGGGCTAGTCCCCAACACCCATCTCCCTTCCTTGTACGCAAATGGCCTTCACAGGGTCTTCTGGAAATGTTTCCCTTTTCCTGTTATTTTTTTATGATGTCACCTAAAAAAAGTCATTGTAATGTGGAGAATATTGTTAAATACGTCTTCAGTAGCCCTACCTAAGTTACCCGCTTAGCCTGGTTTCAGAGTTTCAGTGTCTTGAGGGGTGTTTTTAAAATACTTGGGAGATTTCTGCTTTGATAGCAACATCAGTAGTTGTTTTTATTGCTTTAATTATGATCATGGAAATAGCACATGCCTATTTTCATGTTCTAAACCATATAGAACTGTATACACTAAAAAGTGAAATCTTCAGCTCCACTACCACCTCCAAAAAATTCCTACTTCCCAGAGGTAGCTACTGTTAACAGTTAATGTAGCTCACTTTTCAGACTTTTTCATGGTGTCCAGTATATTTTCTATATTATTTATTACACATTTTCTAAAATTTTGACATTTCAATGATTTGTATGTATGTTAATGAAATCTGTAGATTGAAGGTTTTTTTCTTGCTACTCTACTAATTTTTGTGTTCTTTGTTTTCTAAAAGACTCCACAGGGATCATTCTCCAAATCTGATATTCCATCCTCAGAAAGTACAGAGTTACCTGTGGACTGGAGTATTAAAACTCGACTCCTTTTCACCTCTTCTCAACCCTTTACCTGGGCAGATCATTTGAAAGCACAGGAAGAGGCTCAGGGTGTTATCCAGCACTGCAGAGCAACAGAAGTTACTCTGCCTCAAAGTATACAGGTAATTCTGAAAGAAAACAGCTATGTTTTAAACTAATAAGTAGAGATAATTCCTTCCATTAAGTTTTTCTTTTGACATTTTAAGACTCAAAGACTTGGAAATTATGTATTTCCAAAATGATGCTTTTATATAGGTTTTTTTGCTTTTTTAAAAAATATCTTTATTGATTTCAGAGAGAGGAAGGGAGAGGGAGAGGTAGAGATAGAAACATCAGTGATGAGGGTCATTGATTGGCTGCCTCCTGCATGTCCCCTACTCGGGGGTCAAGGCTGCAACCCAGGCATGTGCCCTAACCGGCAACTGAACCAAGATCTGGATCATATGTTGATGCTCAACCGCGAAGCCACACCTGGCCAGGCTATAGTTTTTAGTCAGATTCAGTAAGTGCCCGTTAAAGTTAGAGACCTGTCCTGAGAAATAGTGTTGCAGGGAGGCATTATTTGAACTAAACTGTTCTTTTCTAAGGCCTTTTGCAAAAGAAAATAAAAGGAAAAGAAATGAAAAGCAATTGAGTAGGGTTGCAAAGACAGATCATTTATTTTACTAATTTTCTCACATAATGTACACTTTTTTAAAGGCAGTAACTTGCAACCTGCCTGATGGTGTGTTGTAGATTTACTAGCGTTAATGAGTTGTACAATGTTTTTAGAGAAATACAATAGCATTACTTTCAAGAAGCTCATCAACTTAAGCTAGGTTAAAAGGGATTACCTAAAAGAGGCCTTGGTACATCTTTTTCAGTAAATGAGTTAGGATGATTTGGGATTCGAGTTACCAGCTTTTACTGGCTACTTTTTACACACACAGACACACACACAGAGACCCTGCCTTCCTGGTAAAAAAAAAAAAAAAGACTTCACTGTTCTTGAGGATGGTAGAGACAGAAGAATGTTTCTGCCTATGTTTAAGTGTTCCTTCTAATATGTGGCTTAACAGACTAATTGCTCACTAGAAAGGTTTTCCCAAATAAGAATAAACTACATTTTAGCCCCTGTAACAGTTACTAACACTTTACTGTACAGTTACTAACACTTTACTGTAAGAAGCAGTAAGGATAAGTGTTTGGTATATTCAGTGTCTTTTTAATGAAAGTTTCTACTTCAGATGGGGCAAACCTGTTCACTGTCTGGATTTCAGGACCCCAAGCTCTGCACTGAGCTGCGATGTGCTTTCCAGCAGAGCCTCATTTACTGGCTCCACCCCGCCTTTGCCTGGCTCTCCCTCTTCCCTCGGATCGGAGCGGATCGGAAAATGTCTGCAAACACAAGCCCTTGGTCAAATGATGAAACCCTGCAACATGCTTTAATGAGTGACTGGTAAGATTTGTAAAAACTTGTGCGACCCAGTAGTGAATTTTCATTTTAGCAATATTCTCTCATTTTATTTATGATGTGGAAATGTTTAGTGGTAGAAGGATCTCTGTATCCTTCCTGAATGCTTTTATTGGATCTGTTAATAACCAACATTTAAATTGTTTACTTTTTAGCTCTTACTCATTTCTTATGCAGTTGTGAAATGCATTTAAGTGTTTGATAAATACACATTAACATAATTCTTTAAGATTCTTGTCAGTGGCTGCTTCCTTTCTCAGCAGAAGCTGCTCAAAGAAAGTTATCAACAAGTTAACAGTGAAATTTTATTTAAAGAAAAAATGTTAGCGTGTAAGTAGTAAACACTGTTTAAGTATTTAGAACTCATTAGGGAGTCCCATGACCAGTTTCAGTTCTTTAAAAGCCAAGTTGTATATAATGGCAAAAATGAAAACCTTTATCTGTCTTATTTGTGTTGTGTTTTAAATCAGGGTGAGTATCCAACTGGATCATATAATATTAAATTTTAGATGTGGAGTTAAATGTTTAATTACCTAAAGAAAACTTTTTGCTTCACAGGTCTGTGAGCTTCACTTCTCTATATAATCTACTGAAGACAAAACTTTGCCCCTATTTCTACGTTTGTACCTATCAATTTACTATCCTGTTCCGTGCAGCAGGATTAGCAGGAAATGATGTAATCACAGCACTCATATCTCCTACAACTAGAGGTATAAGAGAAGCTATGAAAAATGAAGGTAAATTATAGGTTAAAATGAGAATACCACACTATATAGTAAACTATTTTGTTTAACTTTATTGTTGAAAGTATTACAGATGTTCCCTTTATCTGCCCCCATTGATCCCCTCCGCTCACCTCCCCCCCGTAAACTCTTTTCTTGAAAGCTAAAAATATCTTTTATTAGTTGAATTGTCTTTTACTAGTTTTAGCTATATAATTCTAAGAAATATTTTGTTTATTTCTGATCCTTTTTATAGCAGTTATTTAAGCTGTTCCTTACATATTGCTTTAAGTTAATGGTGTTCCCCTTACTGATCTCTAAACACTTACTGGGTTGGAAAGTCCCTGTCTGAATATATTCCTCTAGAAATTCCTTAGAGTGCAAATTACCTACCCCTTTTAATAGCAGTTTTCAAACTGGGTCAACCTATGAATGGACCATAAAGTATATTTACTGGGTTCAATCAGCACTATTTTAAAAAATGAAATAGAGCAGCATTTACTTTATGAAAGAATACCACATGTAGTGAGAATGTATTGTTTCCTGGACCTTTTGTTTCAAGGAGATGTGGGTATGTAAAAAAAATAATAATAATGAATGTAAACTGTAATTGAAAACATAAAATACAAATTGAAAGCTACTGCCTTAATATATCAAGTGTAAAGACTCACATTTTCATATTTCATACTCTAAAAGTAGGGCACACCTGTTAAATTCTTTTGAATATACTAAGGAAAACTCAGTTAAATTTTTCTTTTCTCGTGTAGGTATTGAATTTTCTCTGCCTTTAATAAAAGAAAACGGCCATGAGAAGAAGAAAGCATCTGGAACAAGCTCGGGACATGGGGAGTATGTGATTAACCTTTTATGTCACCCAGCGACTTACCGACTCATGCAGTAGTTTTGTAGAGGAAACAGCTTCATGAGATGGGAACTCTAACGATAGCTCTTTTTAGGGAGCAAGCGGTGAGTGATGAAGATGAAGAAGAAAGCTTTTCCTGGCTGGAGGAGATGGGCGTGCGAGACAAGATTAAGAAACCGGACACATTCTCCATCAAGCTGTATCCTTTCATTAGCTTGAGCTAGAATTGATCTTCATTGAATTAAGTTAGTGAGCAATGTAATACTGACTGGCACTTTTATTTGACCATAATTTTAAATTATCTTAAGATCATATTAAAATTAATTCTCCATCATGATACTAAATAACAAATCCCTAACTACCAGTAAACTATGAACAGTTGTGAAGCTATGTTTTAAATCTTTCTTTTTTTAAAAAAATATCTTTATTGATTTCAGAGAGAGGAAGGGAGAGAGAGAAAGATAGAAACATCAATGATGAGAGAGTCATTGATCGGCTGCCTCCTGCGGGCCCTCGACTGGGGATCGAGCTAGAACCCGGCATGTGCCCTGACAGGGAATCGAACCATGATCTGGATCCTAGGCCGATGCTTAACTGCTGAGCCACGCCTGGCCGGGCCAGGCTGTGTTTTAAAAAGCGAAAGCATTCCATTTTGGTTAAGTTTGTAAGGGGAACAGAACTTTTTTTAAAATATATCTTTATTGATTTCAGAAAGAAGAAGGGAGAGGGAGAAAAATCAATGATGAGGGTCATTGATTGGCTGCCTCCTGCATGTCCCCTACTGGGGGATCTAGCCCACAACCTGGGCATGTGCCCTGACCAGGAATCGAACAGCGATCTCCTGGATCCTAGGTCGATGCTCAACCACTGAGCCACGCCAGCCAGGCCAGAACATATTTTTGACTAGAGAGGAAAGCTTTGTTAGGTGTCAATTTCTAGCAAATTCAGATTAAAGAAAAGTCATTTTGATTTAAGCAGTAACAATGGGACAGCAAGAGCGTTTCCAGTTTGGAATGGAGAAAAGGGGTCCCAGGTGATTCCGAATCAAGAAAACTGCTTTTCCCATTGGTAAAGGATTTGTATTTGCAATTTCCTTGATTGTCATTTTCAGGCGCAAAGAGAAACATGAAGTACAAATGGATCACAGACCTGAGTCTGTTGTGTTGGTGAAGGGAACAAACACTTTTACATTGCTAAATTTTTTGATCAACTGTAAGAGTTTAGTGGCTACTTCAGGTCCACAGGCAGGACTTCCACCAACCCTCTTATCCCCGACAGCTTTCCGAGGTGCCACAATGCAAATGCTTAAGGTAATAAAGGGGAGAAAAAGAAATTCTACACTAATCTTCATAACCTAGGTTCTTTTTTTTTTAAATAATTTTTTTGTTTTTCAATTAAAGTTAATATACAATATTAGTTTCAAGTGTATAGCATAGTGATTACATACTTCTGTAACTTAGGAAGTGATCACCCCAATAAGTCTAGGACCCATCTTACACCGTGCAGTTATTACCATATTATTGACTGCATCCCCTGGGCTGTACTTTACATCCCAGTGACTTTATAACTGGCAGTTTGTACATCTTAATCCCTTCCCCTCTGACCCGTCCCCCTAACCCCTCTCTCATCTTGCAACCATCAGTTTCTTCTCTGTATCTGTGTTTGTTTCTGTTTTGGTTTTTTTATTGTTTTGGTGTTTTTTTATTCCACATATAAGTTAGGTGCTATTTGTCCTTCTCAGTCCCATTTATTAGCATGATACCCTCTAGGTCCACCCGTGTGTCACAAATGGCGAGATTTATGCTTTCTTTATACCTGAGTGATTCCATTATGTTTATGTGCCAAGTCGTCTTTAATCACTTATCTGTCTGTCGATGGACATTTAGGTTATTTCCATATCTTGGCTGCTGTTAATGCTGCTATGAACCATAGGGATACAAAATTTTGAACTATTATTTTTGGTTTCTTATTTCTGTTTTGTTTTTTAATTTTTGTTGATTTCAAAAAGGGAGAGGGAGAGAGGAACATCAATGATGAAAGAGTCGCTGATCAGCTGCCTCCTGCACGCCTCCTACTGGGAATCAAGCCTTCCGGGCACGTTCCCTGACCCAGAATCAAACTGTGACCTCCTGGGTCATAGCACAATGCTCAACCGCTGAGCCACACCAGCCGGGTGTTTTTTTGTTTCTTTAGATAAATATCCAGGGTGGGGTGAACAGTGATAGAAAGGTTGATGGCAGGCTCTGTGGGGGAGGGTTCAGCAAAGGAACAATGGCCTCTGCCAGCACTTCTGTCCCTAGAGAGCTGCTCCTCCACTCCTCTCCCTGAAGACAGTTCAGTTCCTCCCCATTTTGTCCCTGGTGCCTTTTAAGCTGCTTCCCCAGTACCGGAGCTCAGATTGAGTGAGCCTGTCAAGTAAATCTATGTACAGGCACTTTAAGAGCAATACCTGGGACTCCAGCAACCTCCGTCTCACTTAGCCACAATCTCCCCTGGTTTTCACAGCCAGAAGTTATGGGGACTTCTCTTCCTGGCACTGGACCCCTTGACTGGGGGCCTGCTGTAGGGCTGGGACCCCTGGATCTTCAGGGGGGACCTTTGCAGCCAAGATATTCCTCCCAGTTTTTATCTGCCACACATGGATTGGGACCAACCCATTCTGCATCTCCAGTCCTCCTGCCAGTCTCACTGTGACTTCTTTATATCCTTAGTTGTAGGACTTCTGTTCAGCTAGATTTCAGATGGTTCTGAATGACAGTGGTTCTGTAGTTGAGTTGTAATTTTGATGTGGTTGTGGGAGGGGTTGAGCACATTGTTCATATACTCTATCTTGACTGGAAGTAACCTAGCTTCTTAAAAAGTACTTTTCCTTTTTCGATAGGATATATCCTTGAAATTTTAATAACTCCTAGCATTTTTACATGGTGCTTTTTTTTTCTTTCCTCCCAGTCCCATTCAAAAATTATTTGATGTAAAGTTGTATCAGAGGAGTTATATGAAAATATATGAATTATATGAAAATTATTTTTTCTTACCAACTCTAATTGGCAGCAAGCATTTTAGTGTTAATCTTTTTTGTCATAAGGAAAAGTTGCTTGTCTTTTTTCTTTTTGAGAGAGGGAGAGAGCGAACTGTCAATGTGAGAGAGAAAATGGATTGGTTGCCTTCCACACGGGAACCAACTGGGAATCAAACCCACCACCTTTTGTTGTACCGGACCACGCTCCAACCAACAGCCACACTGGCCAGGGCACTTGTCTCATTTCTTAACCAATGGAAGAACATAGTCAAGAATATTGAATTATAGATCTCAAAAACGATCGTGAGTGAGAATAACTGTACAGGTAGACCTCATTTTATTGCACTTCACAGGTGTTGCATTTTTTTACAAATTAAAGGCAAGACCCTCCACCAGCAAAAAGATTACAACTCGGTATGTGTACCCGCTTTATTGCGGTGGTGTGGAACCAAACCCCGCAGTACCTGCAAGTGTGCCTGTGTATCCATATTGTTGGGAAAAAATTATAAATATATCTGAATGTTAGCAATGTAGTCAATTTTTTTCCCCTCAATATTTTATATTGGAAGTGTATTAACTAAGTCAGAATGAGTACCAAATGAAAAAGTAGTTCTCTCGAGAATATAGAAATTTGGAGGAGAGGATGCTGGAGACAATTTACTAAACATTTTTATTCATGTAACATTCTTCTGATGCATTATGAACTAGTTTCCTTCCATAACTCTTAGAGAGAGGAAAACCCAAATGAGTAGTGAGCACATTTAGCTTGGGACAAAAGCTTGAAGAGACGATGACCATGCTTTCTTTCCTTCAATGTTTTGGAAGGCACGAAGTGTAAATGTGAAGACACAAGCTGTTTCTGGATACAGAGATCAATTTAGTTTGGAGATCACAGGTCCTGTCATGCCTCATTCTCTACATTCTGTGACCATGCTACTCAAGTCTTCACAGAGCGGCTCGTTTTCTGCAGGACTGTATACACACGAGCCGACCTCTGTGTTTAACATCTGCCCACCAGGGGATCAAGTACTGGGTCAGGTAAGTGGACAGCTGGACAGTTACAGCTGGTTTCCTCCAAGTAGGTGGAGGAAGTGATTTGTGATGGGCCAGCCTTTGTTTCAAGTTGCTACTTCTCTTCAGTTATGACTACTGAGAGGGAGGGAGCATGTCTCTCTGCAAGTTGGTTTTGTGAGATGATTTTATGAATTCAGGCCGTTGTACTTAGCAGTGACTTGAGAACCCCCCCCCCAAAAGGCACGTTATTTTCACTGTCCTCTTAGATCCAACCAAAACTTAATAGTGCCAGATTCCTCTGTTGTTAGTATAGGCATATGGCCTTTAATTTGGGGTGTTTTTATTTAGAAGTTATCATTAAAATTATGCAAAAATTAAGGTCAATTTCTACTGATAAAGAATAGAGGACCGAGGCATTGGTATCAGAACTCCCATGGTAATTATTAAAAACTGAGTTCAGAAAGGCTCATGTGCTGTTTACTGACTGGTATACAAATTCCCACAGGACACTGTTCGTGAGGAGCTTGCTAACTGTGGATTGCACCCCAAGACTCTGGACCAGCTCAGTCAAACACCAGTGCTGGGGAAGTCATCCTTACGGAATGTGGAAATGAGTGACTACATTTATAGCTGGAGATCCTGAACACCAAAGTAAGCCTAAAAGGAATCTGAGGAAAAAAGCCTCGGGCAAGGAAATTCAAGATTCTTATACCTTTGGCTTTAAACTTCATTTTGGAAGTTAAAAGGAATAGAACTTTTAAGATATTCAGATGTTTATAAACATTAACCTTTAACGTTTATTACATGCACTAAGGAGTAGCGTTAAGATTTTAAATCAACATTTTCTGGTTTTACCATTTTTTGATTAGACATTCAGATATGAAATGTCAAACTTTTAAAAACCTTAAATAACTTGAATGAGAGCTCTAGATCCCTATAACCTAATTACAACTGAATAGGAAACTGGATCAGTATCAGGGTTTCCTTTCAAATGGGAAATTGAGGCTAACACGTCAAGTAACTCATGGCATCCGGGCAAAACTGTATTTAACGATTTACCTAGGATGACACGCAAGTTCTAGCTTGTAAAGGTAGAAACCAAACGTAGACAGTATCTACTGCACCGATTGTTGATGCGTAGTTGACCGTAGTTGCTTTCTTACTGATTTATAATTATTCTATTCTCAAATACGTGTGTGTATGTATTTAATTCATGTTCATTCCGTTAAGGGTATTTTGTATTCCATGTAGAACAGATTAGTGTTGAGTTGTAAAATGTGCTCAGCTGTCATGGCAAAGTAGTATTTAATATGCTTTTAGGGTGTGTGTGTGTGTGTGTGCGTAGTGCAAATCTTCTTAAATAAAAGTGCTTAGAAATCAAAAGCATTGGGTAAAGAAACAATAGTATTTAGTGAAGTATGTGTTCACTATATAATCCAGAAAATAAAACACCACATTTATTCCAGAGAAGTTTATATTTGGGCCTTAAGCTTTTGAAAATAAAGTTTAGAGACATAGCATATGAATACCACTGTAATACACATGAAATATTCTATAAGACCCTAAAAATTAACATAAACTTAAATTCTCTCAGTCAACAAAATAGTGGCTGGGTGCCGATTTTATTAGATAAGTTGGTTACAGCATTTTAATTATCATTTTACGTCTATCTAGGTGTAGCTGAAATTCAAAATGCACATCAAAGTAAAACTATATCACAACTCACTGCCATACTAAATGTACTTGGCCTCTGCAGTAGAATTCTAGTAGGACTTCATTTTGACTCCCTTCTCATGGCCCAAGTGGCTTTGACGGGAACGCAGGACTTAGTGCTGGTCATCACACAACATACCACTTTCTTTTTATAACTTCTACAAAATTTTAAGGGGAGATGGTGGCTTCAGCCCTGTGGAACAGATCTTGCTTGATTACCTCAATAACACTGGCCCCAGTATCTGTCCAGCAGAACCCATTGTGAACTAGTACAAGGTGCACAGCCCTTCACTGATTATAGGCAAGTGTTACAGCAGCCTAGCCATAAGGGGAGTTACATCATAGTACAAAATACAGTATAAAAGCGTAATTTAACATTCCACACTGAAGATTACGGGTGCCTTCAAACAATCGTTTAGATGTTAGCCACTTAAACAAATACATCACTAAGGTAAACAATATAAACATACCAAAACCCTGTATGGTTAAATACAATTTCCATGGTACAAAAATCAAAGCCAGGAGATGTTTGTACAGATTGCTTTTTACACAATGTCTTAAGTTGCCAAATATTTACAACATTAAGGAGGAAATACATTTTGATGCAGAGTAAAATTATCTGAAATGATTAATATAAAACCTCAATCTATCTACGTGAGGCACTCCTGAAGCAAGTGGCATTAGCCATGAGGTCCTTTGGTAAAAGGCCCATTGCTTGAAGAACCACAGTAGCTGCTGTGGCTTTAGCATGCTTCTTATTAGGGCTGGCAAAGCTGGGCTGGTAAGCGCTTCCATTTATCAATACCTATTCAAGAAAAACATACAATTGGGCTGGTAAGGGCTTCCATTTCTCAATACCTATTCAAGAAAAACATACAATAAGAACAGCATCAAACTTTAATATCTATTAGCTTTTTATTCACTAAATGCTAGAAAAATAATTTAAAATATAAAACCCATACTATGTAAGTCAAATTAACCTCAGCCCAGAAATAGCAAATCATTTGGGAAAAGGGACTGCAAATTAAAAGCAGGTCTCCAAATTGAAAAAAGGCCTGATAAAACTGCTACATTAATTCCCCATGTTCTACTAGAAGATGGCAACAAACTGTTCACAAGATTTTCCCCACATCTTTCCCTCCAACATTTTTTAAAATGGGGTTTTAAAAAGTCGTATTAAAAAGCATACTTAAATGTTTAAAAACCCCATCGCTCTACCCTCATATACACAACTCCCAACCCGCAAACACTACATCAATCCTGTGATCATATATTTATCCCTTACCCTCTAACATTAAAAGTCATCAAACTAATAAATGTGTACAATTAATGCATAAATTCATATTTACCCTAAAGAGAAAATGCTTGCGATGGTCAGGGCCACTATCATGGACCAAGAGAAATTCAGGTGGTTGCCACCTTCTCTTATTACAGATTTCCATCAAGGCAGACACAGGATGTTTGCCTGCAGAGAAAAAAAAAACCAGTTACTCATTTTTTGCACCATCTGTGGTAACCAATTATGAACTGAAGGTAAGCGTAGGCAAGAAGAATTCCAGTGTCCCCTCACCTGACAGATCTTTCATTGCAGCAGAGAAGTTCCCAGACCTCTTCTGTGCTCTTTCTCCTACAGCAACAAGACCTTTAAAAAAAGCAAAAATCAATGTTCACTAAATAAACTGTAACACAGCAAAACAATTCCCTCCGTAGGAACAACAATCCATGCCTTCGAAGGAAAATAACACATTCCCTTTACCCTTGTTTCTATGTCAATCTAGGCTATTGCTTTTTTCAACATATAAATCTATATATTTATACACCTTGGTACTGGAAATTAATAAAATGTTCAGAAAACACAAGCATTTACTATGTGACTATGTATATAATTAAGTGCCATAATTATCAACTACTCCAGATATGTTTCTTTGTAAGTTTGGAAAGTAATGGCTATTTACTGCAAGTGATTTCTAAAGGCTGCCCATTCCTTAAAAAATGATTCTCAGTATGTTACTCAAAAAGTGAGGATTTTAGGTGTCACATACGTAAAAAAGTGAGAAATGATGTCTCTATCGATAATGGGCTAATTTTCCCCCCTGCATTATCAAATGTGAGATGTTCTCAGAAGACAAACACACCATAACTGCACACCCTCCCTTTTCAAAGTGGTTTAGCTATGTTACAATCCAAAACCAATGTTTCGCCAACTCCGAGTTCTCCTGGTATGCTTTCCCAAACCCAGTCCATGGTACAATTCCAGAGAATGCTCCCTGGAATTATTTCTTGAAATAAACCATCTTTTTATGACACAATCTATTCAATTTGTACAGCAATAAGGTGGCAATGTGACATAACTACCACAATTCCCTTTCCTAATTAATCTAAAGCCTGAATTAATGCTACATCACAGGGTGATTCTGTTATTTCCAGGCTATTTTTGAGTACCATTATTACAATATATTCCCGCCAATTTGAAAGCAAATGGCAGCTCAGTATTCTGTATGGATGACAATGTAGAAATTCTGATGCAAAACAATTTTTAAATAAATATAATTTAATTGGAGCTATTCGGTTTCCATAGTCATTAAGAAAGAGTAAGTTATTTGCATTACTTTCAACTGAACTTTCTATCTGATTACAAAGATAAGGAAAATAAATTTGAGTTTTAAGTCAGGCTTAAGCTCCAATCATCACATTCCCATGTGATTATACTTAGGACATTATTCTAAGAGAAGAAATTATTTTTAAAAGATACAAATTGGCTATTGTCTCTGAACTACACACAGGCCATACAGACAGATGTCAGGCATCAGAGGACAGTAGCAAATACAGGCAGAAATACAGGGCAATACAAAGAGGCAGCACTACTGTAGGCAGCTGGCCTCCTATTCTCCAGCCCGAAAGAACTCCACTGAAAAGAGGGTTTAAGGTGGAGACAAAACAGTACTCTAATACCAAAGAGAGTATGTGGGATAAAATATCTGGGAAAGAAAAATAAATAAAATCCTAGAAATAAACAGTATATTCCTTGTCTAAATAAAACAAAATGGCCCTGGCCAGTTTGCCTGAATGATTAGTGCATTGGCCTGTAGACTGAAGGGTCCCGGGTTTGACTCCAGCCAAGGGGCACGAACCTCGGTTGCAGGCTCAACAGCCCCTCCCCCGGGCTGCTGCCCTGGTCAGGGCTCAAGTGGGGGACAACCAACCGATGCCTCTCTCATATCAATGTTTCTCTCTCCCACTCTCTCTGAAAAGCAATGGAAAAAATATCCTCGGGTGAGAATTTAGGCATAATAAAACATTCCCCAAAAAAACTTACCTTTTCGGTCGGTCTTAAAATCCACCAGGATAGGTTCCTTATTCCCCTCTTTGTTCTTTCCCAGTCCTTCTCCTTCTCTCCAGCCCATTTTTCTCATCAAAACGGCTCCCATTCCTCCAGTTACCGGGGCTGCTCTTAAGAACTGATCCTATCCAAAGAAAGAAAGGTAAAAATGTCCCCATTTTACAGTTAGAATTTGACTGTTAAATCAGTGTAACTTTTTAAAAAAGAAATCTTATTTTACTTCTAGATCTGTTATAGCAATTAAATTTAAATGCTTCTTATACATACTGTAGTGTGTATGTTCTAATTTTTTCCACATTAACATAATAGTATTTTGAAAATCACATAAGGCAAATAAATGGCAGTTTTAAAACAGTGGCCCTCGTGCCCCCTCCAAAAAAAAAATTAGAACACTCCTGTTTTCGTCCACTATTTAGGTTCACTGGTATCTCTTCTTAGCTTGCAAAATAAAAAGAAGGCAATGTTAAAACAGTCATTAATTGTCCCAGGTGTACCTAGTTAATAAATAAAGCCCAGAAATCATTTTAGAAATAGTTGGACACTGAAGAAGCATACTGTTATCACCCAAAGTTTTCATCCCCATTCTACCATAAAGCAAGTACAAATATTCTACTTAGAAAATCCCTATGAAGCAAAACCATAGCTCTTTAAAATCAACTTACACTGTAAGAAATGGAAGACAATCACATAAAATACCCTGTTATGATACCAATCTGAATTTGAATTCCTTTAAAACCTAGCTTGATGTTAAAAGACTTAAAAAACTCCTTAAACGTTTACATACCTAGGCCTCGGTAGCAGCAGTGTTGTGAATAGTAGGGCTGGCACTGACCGGGGCAAGAAGACAGCTACAAGGATTTGGCCCTGAAACAAGTTTCCATACAGAGGGGTGAAAGTTCACAGGTTATTCTGTGAACAGTCATCTCTCTTGTATCCAACCCACTGAACCATAATTTCCATCAAAGCAGCAAAGCACTTAATGTCACAAGATGCACAAGTATATACATTAGCACGGTCAACAGTCAATTACTTTCACACATTAAGAAATATGCGATGCCTCTAAGGGCATCCGTGTACATAGAACAAACTACTACTGAATTCTGTTCGTCTTTATATATATCTATTTTTATTTTTTATTTTTTTATTTTTATGACATAACATCTCCAAGTCATTCTTTATTTCCCCTTATTAAATTTCAAATTTATATTCTCCAGAAAATATATAGAAGTCATTATCTTATCAATAGAGGGGGGTCAAAAATTTTGGTGACTCTAGAAATAGTATTCATTAATCACTTTCCTGTATTGACAAGTTAATACCAAAATTCGTA